TGTATAATAATCCAAGGTAATTAGCACGTCCCTCATTGCAAACATTTATCAAACGTGTTAGTTATTCAATGAACTGCTGTTAACTACGGTTACCCTATTGTGCTATACCACACAAGGAGTTACTCTTCCTGTGTGACTATGTTTTAGTATCTGTCATCTATCTTTTGAGGGGAAGGAGAACTACTAGGGATTAAATCCGGGACCTTGGCTATGCCGGGCAAGTGCTCTACCACTGAGCTACACCTCCAATCCTTTAAAAAATTCTATTTTGACACAGGATCTCATTAACTTGCCCAGGATGGTCTTGAACTTGTGACCCTCCTGCCTCACCGGGATTACAGGTCTGCAGCACCATGCCTGGCATCCATCTTCTTTCTAACCCACCCCTCCCCAGGCTCTGGTGCCCTCCGTTCTTCCCTTTTCCTCTATAACTTTTTACATTCTACATGAATAAGATCACGTGGTATTTGTCTGTCTGTGATCAGCTTATTTCACTTCATATAACGTCTCCAGGCTCATCCGCACTGCCGTAAATGAAGGGATTTCTGGTTTAAGTTTTGATTCAAACCAAACACTATACAGCAAGTTCATGAGGCAGAGGAATCTCAACACGGACAAGGTCCTTCACGACTACTTTTGTAAGGTGTCACAATGATGAGACCATTATGTTAATGAAAAAGTCCTTAACCTACCTCTAAGGACTGGGGATTTAGCTCAGCAGCACAGCACCTGCCTGGCAAGTGCAAGGTCGTGAGTTTGATTCCCGGTACCGGAAAAAACCAAAAAACAAACAATCTTAACCTACCTCTAGAGATACGTATTGCAATGAAACATAACGTCTGAATTTGGTTTAAAACAGCCCAGAGAGGACGGGCTGGGCTGGTGAGAACAAGCCCGTGGAGCGTGCTGAAGCTGGTATTTGGACTGTGATTAGTCACCATCATTCACTCTGCATTGTACTTTCATGCACAACTGAACATTTCTATAATAAAGTTTGACAACAAATCTGAGACGGGATTGGCTCGGTCCTATCACCATCACACAGGACGGAAGCCTGAAGGGCAGGCCGCTAACCTAAGAACAGAACAAGGGCATCCTACTTGCTCATTCCCATAGGCACAGAAATCCAAGGTACGGGAGCAGGGAGGGCACAATCTGCATTATCCTTACTTCAAACGATAGTTTCTTAAGAATTGACTAGACAATTACTAGAGCACAAGAATTTGGGGGAGGTGCTTTGTTTTCTTGCTGTCGCTTTTTTTTTTTTTTTTTCTGAGACAGGGTTTCACTATGCAGTCCAGGCTGGCTCGAACTCATGGAGATTTTCCTGCCTCAGCCTCCCCAGTGCTAGGATTACACGTGTGTGCCACCACACCCATCCTAGAGCGTAAGAACTTGGCCAGGAGTAACACAGTGAGGTTCTGAGGAAAAAGGCACCAGATGGCATTCCCTGTGCCCCCTGCCTCTTGTTGCCCCTGAGGCCTCCTCCCTCCTTTGCTGCCTGCCAGCCGGGTCAGCCTGTCCGCTTGCTTGGTCAGGCCACCTCCAGCTCTAAGCCCTGCCCCCACTCCCACCCGCGGCCACAGGCTCCTGTCAGGATCCCCACTGGCGCTGTTAGGACGGCCAGTGGTCCGTTTGGAGCCCGTCCTCACTTCCCCCCGCAGTGTCGCGGCTCCCTGACCATTGGCCTCCTCCTCCCTGCTTGACGTTTACGAGCCCCTTGCCTGGCTCCCTTCCACCTCACTGGGTTTCTAGCGAGAGCCTTCCCCACAGCCCCTTAGATGCGGGCGCTCCAGGCCTCGCTACGGGCCCTACTTCTCCTCCTGACTCCACCTCACATTCCCGTCACCCCGGAGACTCCGTGGTACCCCCCTTGAGCACCGTGAGGAATCTCCTCTTCTCACTCAGCACACACAGCGCGCCCACCAGCGGTTCCCATCCTCACAGGAGCGCAGCGGCGTCCCAGGCCCAGAACCCACCCTCAGCTAAAGCCTGGCATCACCCTGGACGCTGCTCTCCCTTGAGGCTGCACAGGACTCTCGCTGCCACACCAGGACCAGCTCCTCAGGACGCAGCCAGAGCACAGGCTCACAGCAATTTTTTTTTTTGGGGGGAGGGGGTCTTTTTGAGACCGGGTCCCACTATGCCATTCAGGCTGGCCTTGAGCTCACTTTGTAGCCCAGGCTGGTCTCAAACTCACAATGATCCTCCTGCCTCAGCCTCCTGAGTGCTGGGATTACAGATGTGCACCACCACACGCGACAATAAGGCACTGTCTATGGGGGGTTTTTTTGTTTGTTTGTTTTTTGGTTTGTTTTTGGAACTGGGAATCGAACTCAGGACCTTGTGTTTGCCAGACAGGTGCTTATGCCACTGAGCTGTATTCCCAGCCCTAACAATTCATGATAAGCAGATGCACTAGCGCACCTCGAGTCCATGCGCTCCCCCTCCTCACCTTACCAGGCCACTGCCCTCCCACGAATCTCCTCCCTCCAGTGCGTCCAGGCCCAGCACCGCCAGGAAACCACTCTTAGGGCTTATGTCTAGATGCCCCCCAAAGCCTCATTACCTCACAGTGGGGCTTTGGGGAGGGGACTGGACCATGGGGGTCAGATAATCCGTGGATTTGTGCACTGCTGCGTTTACAGCTAACGGTGATTTGGGAAGCGAACCCTGGTGGGAGGAGCTGGGTCACTGGGGGTGTGGCCTGGAGCCTTTTCCCTCCCTCCTCCCTTGATCTCTCTCTGCTTCCCGCCACCATGACATGAGCAAGCCTCCTGCGCCAGGCCCCTCTGCCACGCCACCCTGCCTTGGAGTCAGCCAACTATGGAAACCTCTGAAAGGTTTCAGTCGGAAACCTCGACAGACAAAGAGTTAAAATAAACGTGTCCTCTTTACAATTAGGGGTGTTGGCAACCCACAATTGTGTATCAGCAAGAAGAATTCAGGCTGGTCTTGAGCTCACTTTGTAGCCCAGGTTGGTCTTGAAATCACAACGATCCTCCTGCCTCAGCCTCCCAGGTGCTGGGATTACAGGCATGCACCACCATGCCCTGCGTGAGACTTTTCTAAGACTCAAATCTGAGAGACTTCTGCTTCAGTCACTGAAGGACTAGTTTATTTCAATCGACAACCCAGTACAGCCAGACGTGGTGGTGCACACCTGTAACTCCAGCACTTGGGAGGCTGAGGCGGGTGGACTGCCATAAGTCCGAGGCCAGCCTGGACTATATATTCAGTTCAAGGCCAGCCTGAACTACACAGCGAGACCCTGTCTCAAAAAGACAAGACAAAACAAACCAGTGTAAGTGATTAGAAAAGCCATACAGAAGAGCACGTTGAACCCGTTTGACATCATCGTTACAAAGGCAGAGAGGACCAAAAGGGCCCAAAGCGTGGAACCCAGGAACCCTCAAGCGGTGAACTGGATGTGCGGTGTCGCTTTTTGCTCTGGGGTTTTGCCAATTTGAAAGAAGTGAGAAACTAAGCAGAAAGTGGAAACTGCACGGGCAGAAGCTGGGCAGAACTATTAGCAATCTTGCCTAAGAAGAGGGAGAGGAAGAACAGAAAAAATATAAGCCTGGGGCCTGCAGGGTCTTCAGTCAGAACTTTAAAAGACTGTAGCTCAGATGCAAGAGTGACCTGAAACCTGAGCAGGCGCTACAAAACTCCAAGTACCACTTTGAAACAGCTCCGTCTCTGACCAAGGCAGCCCATCCTTCACTATGCGCCAGAAGCGAAAGTAAATTCCCCAGAGAAAGGTAATGTGAGCCACAGCTTCAAACCACCTCTACCACTGTCCTGGTGAAATGTCCAGCATCTATTCACAAATTATTGCCAGGCATGGTGGCGCAGGCCTGTAATCTCAGCACTCCGGAGGCGGAGGCAGGAGAATCGTGGCAGCTTCAGGACCAGCCTGGGCTACACAGTGAGCTCAAGGCCAGCCTGAATTGCGCAGTAAGACCCTATCTCAAAAGACCAAAAAAAAAAAAAAAAAATTATCAGACATGAGACACGTGTGGTGCCACACACTAAGAATCTCAACTACTCAGGAGGCCGAGGCAGGAGAATCATAAGTTCAAGGCCAGCTTTAGCATCTTACCAAGACCTTGTCTCAAAATAAAATTTCACCAAAGGTCTGGAGATACAGCTCAGCACTTTCTGGGTTCAATGCCCAGTACCAAAAACAAACAAACCAAAACATTCAAATAACCCAAAAATCAGTAAGAAAAGGCGGATAATCCAATAGGATGAAAAAAAGAGAGAGAGCAAAAGATATCCAAACAGCAAATAAACAGAGCAAGATTACCATGATCAAAACAAGGCACACGAACAGACACATGTACCATACGTAAGGACGTCCTACAAGTCAAATTAAGTGGATGGGCAAAGGGTAGACAGACGGTGACAGCTGAATGAGCAACTGGGACAAGACCACATTTAAGGCCTTGGTCAGAACGCCAAGACAAATTTTGGTTTTTTGGTGTGTTTTTTTTGGTTTTTTTTTTGGTACCGGAAATCGAACTCACAACCTTGCACTTGCCAGGCAGGCGCTGTGCTGCCTGAGCTATATCCCCCCACCAAAGATAAATTTTGGTTGGTCCAATTTAAGTCCAAAAGAGCAGGTAAGGAATCAAAGGAAATAACGAAGCTGGTGGACACGGCAGCGCCCACCTGAGATCAGCTGCTCGGGCGGCTGTTCCCCGTGCCAGTTCACCACCAGCCTGCGCAGCCCAGCTGAGCCTGTCTCAAAACCAACCAAGCAAGCAAGCAGCCAGGGCAGCCAGGGCAGCCAGGGCAGGTTAGTGACGGCCTGTCTGAAAACAAAAAAGGGCTGGGGGTGTAGTTCAGCACTCCCCGGGGTCAATCCTCAGGAAGCAAACAAACAAACGAAGGAAAAACCCCCAAACAGCAGTGAAGCAAGGGGAGAGGGAGGTTCTCTCCCTAACCCTCAGCTCCGTGCCCACAGGCGGCGGGGCGGGGGCGGGGGCGCCGGTTACCGCGTCGATCTCGTTGAGGACCTTCCACTGCTCGTAGGGCACACCCAGCGCCTCCGCCGTCTGGATCGTCCTCTTCATCTGGCTGGTCCAGACCTTCAGATCCTTGATGTTCTGGTCGCTGATGAACCGAGCCAGGCGCTTGGCGAACTGAAACACATCACGGCCAATTCAGACCACGGGTTCCAGCAGGGCTACAGAGACAGGGCCCGCCCACTCCTCAGAGAAGACAGGGTTAGCGGAAAATATCAGCCAACCTCCGGCCACAAGGGCGCACAAGGCTGACCTTGTGCACTCCCCTGGACCCTGAGACAGCTCTGGCCACGCCTCATCGGCCCCTGCCCCAGTCCCTGTGCCCTGGCCCACCCAATCCCCCCGCAAGGTCCCAAATCCCCTCAGATTGGGGCACAGCGTCAGCTACACTGCAAGGACGGCATGACTCTGCCGGCAAAGGGGCTCAGCTCGTAACAGCTCCCATGGAGACCACAGATCCAGGCATTTGCTTGGTGCTTGTGACCTTTCCTACAGGACGGGAACATTCGAGGCGCAATGAAGGTCATCAAGTGGGCATTAGCCATGGAGCAGAAGCCCGGCCCCTGTACGCACACGTATCTATCCGGCCACCTATCACTACAAGTGCACAGGGACACGCACGCACGGCACACACACTGACCTCCCGGCCCCGAGCGGACAGTCCTGGGTCCCCACCAATCCGGCCCTTGAGGTTGAGCTCACTCTCCCCGTGCCGGCACAGGTAGATGGACCGGGGCGTCACGTGGATGTTCATGAGGTAGTACACGATTCGGCTCTGGATGTGGTCGGCCACTCGGTTCACCACGTAGCTCTGCCCCACGTCCATGATCTTGATATAGGACAGATCCCTTTCCAGAGAGAAGGCAGAGAGAGGCCCGTGAGTCCAGGGCCCTCAGAGCACACCCGGCCAGCCACGGGAGCCGGGGGCAGGTCTTGCATCCGTGAGCCCGAGGTGTGGCCCCAACACACAGGACCTCAGCTGGTACGCAAGTGCTACGTGGGAGGCAGGGCAACGTGCCACGTGTGACACAGACAGGCACTGTGAGAGGTGCTCAGAACTTAGCATGCTTCTGAAGGTGACATCCAAAGCGGTGGCCGGCCACACCACGACTGCTACTGCTGCTCACACGTGCCCGGCCCTCGCTTGCCTACATCCGGGATCTCAACACACAGGCTGCACGGAGCACAGAGCCAGCTTCCGCAGGGGGGCTTCCGAGTGGCTGACAAGTCTCTCTGCTCGGCTATCCTTCCCCTTGTGGCCTCGCCCCCACAGCCCCGTCCAGGTCACCGGGTGGGCCCAGCAGCTGCCACACCCCGCACCAGGCAGCCAGCGGACACGCCCACGAGCCCAGCTCAGCCCTCTCTCTGCTCTGGACCTGGGCAGTGCTGCGGCTGGGAGAGCTCGCTCGTGCTAGCAGGAGTAGGGCTGACTTGGACTCCGCCTCAGAGCTCTCCGGATATTCCTAGCTGGGTCTTCACGGTGTGGACTGGGCGGCCTTGGTTTGGGGTCATCACCCTGACCTCACCAGGAAAAGAGAAGCCAATTTTGCAGGAGCTGCTGCAGACAAGACCCGCCTTGTGCGGCACATCACAGAGCAAGGAGAAGAAACGGAAGCGTGCGGGTGGACAAGAGGAAGCACGGAGGCCAGCAGCACCCGGTGCCGTTCTGCGCCACCCCAACCTGGGTGGGCTCCCAAGCCCAGTAAAGAGGGGGACAGATGCCTCATCCCATGGCAGTCCAGGGACAACTCTGCCATGACCCCTCCAAAGCCTTCCCTCGGATGGCCGCACACGTGCCTGGGTTCAAGTGGATCACACATTCTACGGTAATTGTAAAGGACCCAAGCACATGTTTATATTCCTGTCTTTCACTTAATGCTACGCAACAGATGCATCCTCGTGTCTCTCTGTAGTTATAATTTATAGGGTTGGTGTAATATTTTACCAAGGGCTACACTGTTATTAACCTAACCACTGGCCATTTACGCTGAGACGAAGGGGTTGGCGCCACAGCCGGCAAGCCAGAGGCAGCCTACGGGCTGCCTTCACCAAGCTTTGTGGGAACAGAGCCACGCTCAATTATTTACGTCCCGTTCCCTTTGTACTTATAACGGCAGAGCGGACTAAAAGAGTGTAAATCCTCCAGCACCTAAGGAGTCACTCACTCTGTGACCTGCACAGAAGATGCTTGCTGACCCTCAGTTAGACACCCCCGCGGACCATGCCACGACCCCGCTCCACTCTTCCCAAGCCATGCAGCTGCGCCCCCCGCCCCCGCAGACTGCACACTGAGAGGGGAGCGTGTGACGTCTGCAATGCCTTGGAGGCCCCTCTGCACAGAAATCAGGCTCGATTCTGTGCTGGGACAGTAGAATCTGCTCGCACAGTTCCAGATGAGGTAACAGATGTCCTGCAAGTCACCTCTGGCCAATGATTTCTGCCTCAAGGAAAGAAACAGAACAGGTCAGACCACCCCTGTTGCCCCGCGTGCTCCCCAGCCGCCAACACGGGGAGGCCGGAAGGGGGCGGCCAAGCACAGCCCCGCTCTCCCGCTCACCTGTCCAGGTCCTCATCCAGCGACTCGTAGGAGTTCTCATAGCACTCAATTCGTCTCATGAAATCTTCGGTGGCCTCGTCACTGTCCCGGTCCACGTAGTCGGGGCTGCCCAGCTTCACTTGCTGCCAAACCCAGGCGCAGAGCAAAGACACATGAGGGCTGGAGGCCGGGCAGGGCCAGAGGTCGAGGAGGCTGCTGGGCAGGGGCGGGGCAGGCCGGGAAGCCGAGTGGGGGAAGCGTCCAGCAGCCCCCGGGGCTCCTGAGTTCACAGCCCCCTCCCTTGCGGCTCAGGGAGGCCTAGAAGCCTTTCCCCACCCCGTCCCTTCTCCCTTCAGAGGGGCTAAGGGACAGTTGGGAGCGGGGAGCAGAGCTCAGTGACATACGCGCTCTGGGCTGAACCCCCTCTCCCGCGGTCTGGGACTCTCAGGAGGGAGGGGGAGCAAGGGTACGAGGGAAGCACAGGAAGGTGCGCCCCTGAGCCTCGCAGTCCGCCATGTGCGTGATCCTCGGGGACAGGCTCTCCTGCCCCACGCTGGTGACCGCACTGCTCCCCACACACGGGGTCAGGAAGCTCAGACGGAGGGCAGCTGAGCATCAGCCCAAACCGGGAGGAGGCCCTCGCTGTCACCTCCCGCTCATCACTGCCCCGAGCCAGGTCACACGCGCACTCACCACGATGTTGGCAGCTATGACCTCCGGGTCCACACAGATGGACTCCACGAAGAACGTCTGCAGTAAGGGCCAGAGGCGCCCGGCAGGCAGGAGGGGAGGAACCACACGTGAGGTGCACGGAGGGCCCGGGGCCTTGCTCCCAGAGCTCTCCACTCCCTCAGGCCCTGCTCCTCAGGGAGAAGGGTTGAAGACCACGGAGCTAAAGGAGACCCACCCCGTTCAGGACTCTCCCAGTAACAGACAAGTTCAGGAGCCCCACCCCACACGGCCATCTGGAATCCACGCCACTCGAAGCCGCGCACGGCTCAGGAGGCCGGGAAAGACCCCCGCCAGGGCCGGACGTGCACCCGCTCAGCCAAGGAGGGGCCCAGGAGGCCTCACCTTGTAGCCATTCTGTTCCCCGAAGTTGAAGATCGTCGCTCTCCGCTCTCGAGTAGTATTGGTTGCATCAAAAACCTAGGACCAAACTGGAGTGAGCTCAGCTCTGGCCCCAGGAGGGCGGGAGGCGCTTGCGGGCCTCAGCAAAGCATCTCTTGCCAGGTCTGGGCTTTCTACCAGGCCCAACCGGGCCACCGTCCCGGCCAGTCTCCTCCAGACTTGCACAGAGAAAAGCTTTCCGCAATGCTCTGCACACAGCAGAAATTCCAGAGACACCAGTTAACCCTGGCACCGTGGTGTGGATGTGGTGGGTCCCCCAAGGCCCGTGTTCGCCCATTATGAAAAGGCAAGTCTGGCCCACCCAGTTCTCTGCTTCTGTCATCCAGATGTCACCTTTTCTTCCCATGCAGGCTCCATCCATGACACCACAAGGTCCTCAACCGGGGCTGAGCCAATGAGGCTGCCTGGTTCTGAACTCTCAGCTTCCAAAACTGTGATCTGAATAAACCTCTTTTCTCTACAAAGTTGTCTGTCCCTAGTATTTGGTTATAGCAATGGAAAACAGACTAATGTCTGGTGAACTGAACCTACCTTTATTTATACTCCATTCTGAAGCGCCAGGAAGACTGAGCAGAGGGCCAAAAAGAACAAGACAGGGCAGGAAATGGAAATGTCAACAAAGTGTAAAACAGACCTAGTGACCTTTTAAAAGGAACAGAGACAATAGAGGCAGGACGATCACAGTTCAAGACCTGCCTGGACAACTTAGCAAGTTGATGTCTCAAAAAAACAAAACAAAAACCAGATATGAGCTAGAGATGTAGCTTAGTGATAAAGTATTCTCCTAGCACATGGGAAACCCTGACTTTAACACTCAGTACTGAAAACACCAACAGACAAAAAAGGGGGCATCAACAAGGTTCCTGGGACACTCCAGCTAAACTTCTAACGAGAAAAACAGAGACTAAATCAATCAAACAACAACAAAAAAAGAAACTTGGAGGAAATAAAAAACAGGACATAGAAACAGGACAAAAGAACCTTACAATCATTATTCAAGGAGAGATATGAGCCAGGCATAGTGGCGCACACCTGTAATTCTAGCATGCAGGAGTCTGAGGCAGGAGGATCACTGTGAGTTCCAGGCCAGCCTGAGCCACACAGTGAGCTCAAGGCAAACCTGAACTATATAGTGAGACCCTATTTTCAAAAATAAAAAGTGCAAGGAGAGATATGATAACTCTGAAACTATGAAAGAACAGAGCTCTAAAAATTGTACTACTCGCTCAAAGATGACTACTGAAATTTTTAAAAAACTCAACCAAGCCAGGCATGGTGGCGCACGCCTGTAATCCAAGTACTCGGGAGGCTGAGGCAGGAGGATCGTTGCGAGTTC